CACTTCCAATCAAAACTAATTTGGTTGTCTTGTATTTTTAAATATTGTTACTTCAAAAAAGATTATTCTAGGTCAGCATTTTCCAAAGCATATTTTTCAGAACACTAACCCTTGGTTAGGTGCTCAATAAAGTTTCAGTTTTGGAAAAGCTGTGTTTTTATATCTCTTTCTCAAAGCTTCATAGTTCACATTAGTAGGTAACGGTTCTAAGAAATCTTGTGATAAAGAAACTTGTTTAACTTTGCTTATCTCCATATTTCCCAAATGTATGTACCTTTGGAGACTTCTTTTGTGCAACACTTATTACTATACTGCAGAACTAGTGTTGTACAGAATATAGTTTAGGAATAACTGCTACAGGGACATTGGGAATTTCTTAAAAAGAGGTTTTTTTTTTCAGCACTCCTTGCGATACCTATGGATGCTCTGGTGGTGTAGTGCTTAAGGCATTTGAGCTAACCAGAAGGCTGGGGGTTCAAACCACTAGCCACTCCTTGGAAGGAAGGTTGGGCAATCTACTTCCATAGTGATACTGTCTTGGAAACCCAAGGAGGGGTTGCTATGAGTCGGATCCAACTCCACGGCAGTGACTTGGTTTTTGGTTTAGTTTGTGATACCTATAGCTAAATAGGGATGAAAGGAAGTATCCCAATGCCATTGAGTTGATTCTGACTCATAGCAACCCTATAGGACAGAATAGAACTGCCCCATAGAGTTTCTAAGGCTATAAATCTTTATGGAAGCAAACTGCCTCATCTTTTTCCCAGGGAGCTACTGCTTGGGTTCAAACCATCTACCATTTGGTTAGCAGCTGAATGCTTTAACCACTGTGCCACCAGAGCCCCTTGAATTTAGGTGTAATGTAACTGATAAGACTGTGACCATGCCAGTATTTGTGGCAACAAACTCATTTCTCAAAGCCACTGAACTCTAGTAATAAAATGTGATTGTGCGTAAACATTGTCAAAAGGCCACGATTCCTTGTTGTTAGGTGCCATCCTTGTTGTTAGGTGCCATTGAGTTGTTTTCAACTCACAGGCACCCTATGTACAACAGATTGAAACAGTGCCTAGTCCTGCACCATCCTCACAATTGTTGCTATGCTTCAGCCCATCGTTGGCAGCCATTGTATCAATCTATCAGAGTGAGGGTCTTCCCTTTTTCGCTATCATCTATCTACTTTACCAAACATGATATCCTTCTGCAGGGACTGGCCACTTCTGACAATAAGACCAAAGTACAACAGATGAAGTTTAGCCATTCTCACCTCAAAGGCGCATTCTGGCTGTACCTCTTCCAAGACAGATTCGTTTATTCTGGTGATCCATGGAATTTTCAGGATTTATTTTTTTTCTTGCCAAAACCACAATTCAGATGCATCAGTTCTTCCTCATTCATTGCCCAGCTTTCACATGCTTATGAGGCAATTGAAAATACTGTGGCTTGGGTCAGGCGCACCTTAGTCTTAGCAAAGTAACATCTTTGCTCTTTAAAACTTTAAAGAGATCTTTTGCACTGGGTTTGTCCAGTGCAATGTCCTTTGATCTCCTGACTGCTCCTTCCTTGGGTGCTGGTTGTGAATCCAAGTAAAATGAAATTCTTGACAACTTCAATATGTTTTCCATTTATCATGATGTTGCTTATTGGTACAGTTGTGAGGATTTTTGTTTTCTTCATGTTGAGGTGTAATCCATACTGAAGGCTGTAGTCTTTGATCTTCATCATTCAAGTCTTGATGTTCAGCAAGCAAAGTTGTGTGATCTGTATATTACAGGTTATTGATGAGTCTTCCTCCAATCCTGGTGCCAAGTTTTTCATATAATTCAGCTTCTTGGATTATTTGATCAGCATAGAGATTGAATAAGTATGGTGAAAGGATACATCCCTAATGCACACTTTTCCTGATTTTAAATCATGCAGTATCCCCTTGTTCTGCTCGAATAATTGCCTCTTGTTCTATGTAAAGGTTCCTCATAAGCACAATTAAATGGTCTGGAATTCCCATTCTTTATAATGTTGTCCATAATTTGTATGATCCACACAGTCAAATGCCTTTGCATAGTCAGTGAAACACAGGTAAACATCTTTCTGGTATTCTTTGCTTTTAGGCCAAGATCCATCTGACATCAGCAATGATATACCTCGTTCCATGATCTCTTCTGAATCCATCTTGAATTTCTGGAAGTACCATGTCAATACACTGCTGCAACCATTTTTAAATTATTTTCAGCACAATTTTATTTACATGAGATATTAATGATATAGTTTGATGGCAGTGAGGTTTTTTGTTTGTTTAGTTGGTTGTTTTTTTTTGGGGGGGGTAAGGTTTATGCATTCTAGACCTTGGAGCATAATAAGCACTATTATTACAGCCATGGAGTGGAGGAGAACTGCAAGGAGTAGGCACTCTGACAACAGTAAGGCATGACTATTTTCAGCCAGATAGTGAGAAGACACCATCTGTTTAGTAATATGTTCTAGAATTTTCCTAAAATCTATATCAAGTACTCTTAATTTATGTAATTCACCTTTTAGTGAATTACAAAAAATTAAAGTGAGACATTAACCTATCTCTTCTAGTCTCCAAAACTGTGATTCCCTCTGCAAACCTATTCATTGCCCCTGGTTACAATTTTGTCCATGGCCTAAAATTCTGAACACTCACTTACAGTAACAAAGTGAGGTCTAACTCTCTCCACAAGTATTCAAGGCTTGTTTCCCTCATCAGTTTATGCTCATCTCATCTTTTTCAGCTTGAAGATGATTTCTCTTAACATAGAACCTAAAGCAAAATAGGAGTTGAGTAGTTCTGACTTTCAGCTGTGAACAGTGTACTCTCTTCTCCAAATTCTTAGCCTTTCTTTGATTTTTCACTACGGATAAGACTTTTTATATATATATATATTCCCCCCCAAAAAGCCATATTTTTATTGTCTTTGACATATTTTATCAATTTCTTCTATTTTGGAGCTTCTTGATAATCTTCTGACAAGTTGATTCCATTATGATATTTTTTGAGGGGATTTGATAAAGTATGCCTGTTATCTTTTATGGGTGCCTTTTTTAAAATAAGCTTATTTGAAAATTGACTCCCTATGCAGCCACATAGATTTCTTTGTTGTTGTTGTTGTTATTATGTGCCATCGAGTTGGCCCCGACTCATAGCGACCTCTCCTTGGGTTCGAGGCAGTATCACTACAGAAGTATATTGCCCAATCTTCCTTCCAAGGAGTGGCTGGTGGGTTTGAACTGCTAGCCTTCTGGTTAGCAGTCAAGTGCCTTAGCTAAGTGCCTTAGCACTATGCTACCAGAGATTTCTTTAGATGCTTCTTTTTCCTGTATTATTTTAGAATCTATTGCAATCTTATATTCATCCTTCCTGAATCATATTTTTAAAGCAGTTGATTATAGAATCAAAGTTGATTTGATTTTTTTTTACAAGTGTTCAGCTGCTAACTGAAAGGTTGGAGGTTTGAATCCACATGCAGGTGCCTCAAAGGAAAGGCCTGCCAATCTACTTCCAATGGGCTGAAAACCCTGCATAGCACAGCTTTACTCTAACATGTTCAGGGTCTCCATGAGTCGGAATTGACTCAACAGGAACTTTTGTTTGTTTCATTAGAGACCAATGTAGGTATTTGATTATACTCTATATTATTTTCATTTCCTAATAAAATCTAAGAACTATACGTGTCACAACTGTGTTTTCCTAAGCTTCTAAATGATCAATTCTTTTTTATTTTTGGTCAGAGTTAAGTTGACAATTACCCTCACTGCATTTTCAATGTCTGAGAGATCAGATTGTCCTATGTGCTAATGAAGAATCTGTTCTCCCTATCCTGTGTATCTAGCTTTATGACCCAAACCTTCAGTAACATAGGGGATGTTTCCCTTTAGAACAAAGCTTTTCAAACAGTCATGGGTAAGTTATAAATCAGTTTAGTGGGTTGCAACCAGGAGTGTGAGATAAAATTGAAGAGAAAAGCAATAAAATAGAATAGAATACAAAAATAGCAGAGTATGCTATATGTAGTAAGATTAAATATAGTTTCAGTTTTATATGTGTGTATGAATTATATGCTCTTGGCATGACAAAATACTTTTTCATGGTGTGGGTGATGGACTAAAAACTTTGAAAAACACCACTTAGAGGATAACAGAGGAGCTCTGGTGGCACAGTGCTTAAGGCATTTGACTGCTAACCAGAAGACTGACAGTTCAAACCCACCAGCCATTCCACAGAAGGAAGACCAGGCAGTCTACATCCGTAAAGATTTACTGCCTCAGAAACCCAAAGGGGGTTGCTGTGAGTCAGAATCAATTCGATGACAGTGAGTTTGGTTTGGTTTTAAGTTAGAGGATAACAAAATCATTATTTGTGTTGCCATAATGAAGAGTATAGAATATTATATCTATCTATCTATCTATATAAAATCATGTTCAATACATACATAAAGAGGACTGGTGAAACAAGTTAAGTGCTTGGCTGCTAACTGAAAGGTGGGTGGTATGAATCCATCCAGTGGCTTCACAGAGAAGAACCTGGCCATCTGATATGGTAAAGACTGAAGACTGGAAAACTCTATGGGGCAGTTCTACTCTGTCATATGGGGTTGCATTGAGTTGGAATCAACTCAATGACACCTAACAACAACAGCAATACATACGTATCATGAAATTATTATACAAAACATAGGATTATAACTATTTTTTAACTTTTACTACTCCATCTGTTGCTAGAAGGTAGTTTAAGAATTTAGCAGCTGTGTGTTAGCTAAAAATATATGACAATTCATTTTAGGTACCTTTAAAAATACATGAAATCAAGGAATAAATATAATGAGGTATTTATTCCTTTATTTGAGAACTCTGTCTCAGTACTAGATTATCCCCATACCTTATTGAGTTGAATTACTGTATATTCTCAAATAGATATCAAACAATGCATGAAAATGTCCCACAGTGTTCAATCTTGTGTTTCTAATTTTTTGTCTATAAAGGGTGACTGGTGGGCGTATAGTAAAGTCCTGGAACGTTCCTTTCAACCACCTTATGACACTAAGAGCACCCAGAGGAGTGACTTCCAAAAGCCAACATGTCCATTGGTTTTGCCAGTCAAACACAGCAGGATGCAAAAACCTTCTTCTGGAATAGGTAAGATTAGCAGCAGTTAGCCTGTTTTTCATTATCTCAGATTATTGCTATCAAATAAAGATGGATTAGTTGTGCTGGCACCTCCTGAGAAAATTACTTCTCTATACCAAACAAACCAAACTCACTGCCTTCAAGTTGATTCCACTCATAGTGACCCCTCCTTGGCTTTCCAAGGCAGTATTACTACACAAGTAGATTGTCCAATCTTCCTTCCAAGGAGTAGCTGGTGGGTTTGAACTGCCAGCCTTCTGGTTAGCAGTCAAATGACTTAGGCATTACACCACCAGAGCTCTCTACTTCTCTATAACCCAACGCACTGCTGTTGAGTCAGATCTCACTCATAGTGAACCACTCCTTGGGTTTCTGAGGTGGTATCATTACTGAAGTAGATTGCCCAACCTTCCTTCCAAGGACTGGCTGGTGAATTTGAACCACCAGCCTTCTGGTTAGCAATCAAATGCTTTAGGCACTAAGCCACCAGATCTCCTTACTTCTCTATGTTGTTGTTGTTGTTATGTGCCGTCGAGTCGGCCCCGACTCATAGCGACCCCTCCTTGGGTTTCCGAGGCAGTATCACTACGGAAGTAGGATTGC